CCTAGTGTTCTTGGAAAATGGCAGTGTCTATAATTAGCTAAACAACATTTGCTTTTTCGCAACAATGAAGTTTTGTATTCTCTATAGGCATTTTAATTAAATTATTGTTCATGGAAACCAGCAAGGAAGATGACTGCATTTCCCATCAGGAACTGAACAAAGGAAGACAAGCTAAACCTGGACTGTTCCTTGCTTTTCCCCATATTATTTGGGTATGCATGCATAGAGTTTGGTTTGGGACTTTTTTGTTGCTGTTGGGTTTTGTTTGTTTTTTAAATAGTCATTTTGGTGTTATCTTCTCTTAGACCATCAAGGATTCCCAGACCATGGCTGCACAACAGTAGCCTAGTGTACTATGTTCTGTTTTCTCTTGCAAACCATCAAGTTCGTACTGTACTGAGCCATTCTCTACTACAGTTCTGCGTTTTGAAATGCCAAATGCCAAATGCCAAAATGACTGTTTTCCTGCTCTAAGTGAAGTTTTAACTCTCAGTCAGGTACACTTGATACCAACAGAAAAGGTATTTTAAAAAAAAAAAAAGACTAAAATACTTTTACATTACTTTCGTCTCCACTTTCCAGAGGTATGTCTGTGTTTAGCCTGCGGTGTACAAAAGCAAAGGACAGGTTTAACACATTAGTTGCAAAGTTACTTGGAGCACCCTGACAAAATTGATGTTTGGGTTCTGTTTCTAACCTTATCCAAATATAATTCCCTGAGAGGAAAAAAAAAAAAAACACCACCCTCTGTTTTACAGTTGTTTGTCTTCGACACTATGAAAACCATACAGAAGTATCTTGGCACACAGTGAAAGCTTGGCAACACTGCTGCAACACACACTTCCTCTGCTCAATTGCTAGTAGGTGGTTTGGGTTTTTTTAAAAAAACACAAGTTCTAGAAACACCACCTTTATTGTTTCAGTGACACTTGAGCATAAATGTCAGAAACATATCCAGTGGCAAGAGGAACTTGCTCATGCTAACTTTTCGTGCATTACCAACATGGACAGGGTGATTGCTAAGGTTCCAGCCACACAGAGAAACCTTTATCTAAGACATCTTTGTTAATAAAATGGATAATCATTTGCATTTTATTTCTCTGTTTCAGCAAGCCCTGACATTAATTAGCACATGATATTTCTTCTCATCAAGTATCAAAGTATAATATGCTCAAAACTTTTAAATAACTACTTGATGATTCCACTACAATTCCAGCAAGTCTTTTAAAATTGGGAGGTTTTTTTTACAACCTTCTCCCCCCCACACTCCCAACATGTGCTAGACTTGTATGAATGTAGTGCTTACAAGGGGGTTAAAAAAAAAAAAATCAAAAAAACCCCACCACACCAAAACATCAAAGTGAGGATAATAAGAACTGTCCCTCTTTGGCCATGCTGCTGAAATTGTCAGACAGCAATAATTATGGTGGCTATTTTCATAATATGCACACCCCTCCAGAAAATGGACACTGGATAGAAACTTCAGGCAAGCCAATGAAAACTTACTAAATGAAAACAATCAACCTGCTGCCACCATGCAATAAAACTGATTCAAGAGGAAAAGAGCAAACCACTACCACTCCAAATCAAATCTTGAACTAGAAATTTACTTTCGATACAGGGAAACCAGGAGGTGGCTGCCAAAGGAACCATCGTCAGTAGCCTAAAGTAATAGTCTCTCCTGTAATTCTAAAGCAAATGACTCCTGGTGTTTTGCAACAATTTGAAAATCCCAAGAATTGCCTATCATGTCTAACCTCAAAGGTGGGGTGGCAGAGAATGGACAGAAATTATTTTGATGCAGTGTTTGGGTAGGTGGTAGCACATATCTGGCTACTGGAAGACAGTATTTCCAGGGTAATTTGTATCCACTGGCATGATGGCCTGGAAAACATGACTAGCTCTATAGAACTTCTCCCCCTCTTTTAAAGTTAAATCCTTAAATTTGGGGAAGAATGGGGGGAGGCACATTTGAAGCTAGATTCCCAAGGATGTTCAAAGTAAAGAAGCCTCATTTAAGCTTTAAAAGTACATCCGTACAGCACTGTCTCCCTCCATACCTAGAAAAAGACTTTCAGCTAAATCTCACAAGACCTTAGTACTCAGCAGTTTTGCATGACTGGCCCTCAAATACAATTTAATTCCCTTAACTAAATGGGGAAAGGAAAAAAAAAAAAACAAAACCCACACAGAAAGAAGCAAAATGTATATTGAGCGCTATAAAAAAAATCATTTTATCAACAGCACAAGTACTAATGCATATAGATTTTGAGATATTTGTTAATGAGGACTGTTTGGCTATTCAGATCATCAGAAAAACTCTTCCAACCCAATTAAGCTAATGCCAAGCATATTTATCAGGAATCACAATGGAAAAACTGTCAAACTGTCAGCTTTCTTACTGGAGAAAACCAAGATCCGTTTACAGAAGCATTGTGCACAAATAAAGAGGTTTTAAGTGGTTTATTTGTCCATTTGGAATGATTAGTCTTTATAAGCAACAACATAAATCCACCCCTCATGAAAGACCTGACAGCTCGTTATTGCCAAACATATTACAGCCTGCTGAAGGGTGAAGAATTACAGACATATAAAGATTAATAACATATCACCATTAAATCACTTACTCTGTTCATAAGAGTTTAATCCTCTAACATTATAAATTAAGATTAGAAAAAAAATCAACACTTCCAGTGATAAAATACATTGTGTTTAGTACACAATATAAACAGTACAGTTTCTTACACTAGTGCATTAAAAAGTTAAAAAAAAAAAAAGACATCTCCTTTGGAATAACTGCATCATTGCTGATCGCTCTCTTACACAAACACTGCTTGCAGCCATACAAGGAAGTCTCCAAGAAGCATACTGCCAGGAAAATCCATCACAGCTAAAATAAGTTTATTCTGAGAACCACTTCTCCGATACTCATATTACTTGAATATGAGGACCTAAAATTAGATTCCTTCACATCTGGAGTTACCAGTAACATCCCTTCTGAAATCAAGCAAGTAGTGAACAGATTTGCATCCATACTTCAACCATCAAATGAAGCTGAAGTGGAAAAATGGCTTTCATTTTTCACCCAGTTAAGTAAATAGTTACTTAATATTTGGAAGCCTTCTATAACAGTTTTAAAGTTTAGTGGTTTGGATCATTTTTCAAGGTAACTAGCATGTGTGAAACTTGCACATATGAATGATTCATAACCAAATCAATAGCAGTACCAGTATAATAGCTAAAAGATAAAACATTTTTAATTATCAGAGATAGAATTTTGAGATCTCTTCTCTAAACACTAATTTGGAAGATAACCTTTATAAAAATGTTCCAGTAATGATTTGTATTACATTAACTCTATATTAGATGACAACTTCGAAGACTGAAGTTAACACTTAATGGAATCAGACTTCAAAATAAAGTGGATCAGAATAATAATCTATATAAATAAAAGTATACTGCAAATCTATTTCTCAACATAAGATATTGCCTGCTACAGATAACCTCATACAGCTATTAGTACCCTTATCAAGTCTGTGGAACTACCTGCTTGTCAATTAATAGGATGTGAATGTGAAAAGTAGACGGACATAGGAGGCATGTTTTATTTTTGCAATAGACATCATCTGCATTCAAATTGACCAACAGCAAACAAGAAAAATTCAGAAGCCAACTGAATTTGGAATGTGTGTGATGAAAATCCCATTTAGTACCTCATTATATGCTCAATGATTTTTTTTTTTTTTTGTAGCACAGTAACTTGGAAAAAAATATTAATGAAGCAACAACAGAATCCCTCCTTTCCCAAGGATCTGAAATACCATCTGAATTTTACTCCGTGATGCCTAGGAAAAGTGTCAATACCACTGCCTGGCACACTAAACAATTTGTCTGTGTCCATCTGCTGTCATTTACCTTACAAATAGATCACAAGCTCTTAAGGGCTAAGACTATTTTTTTAAAAAAATTTATTTTATACCAAGACATGATAGTATCCATACCTCCTCTGTGCTACAGCAATGTAATAAGCTAAATAACATTGTTATGCTTTAATTATTTTCTACTCTAAGCTTTAGATATATCAAAAGTGAGAGATGGTTGACCAAGTTTCTAGGAACGGAAGGCCAGTCTTTCCACATGTGACCTAACATGAAAGTAAGCACACTGCTTGCCAGCATCCAGAATGCAATTTTTTTATTCTTTGCACCATGTGAAAAAAAACCTGCAAGGCTATCATTAATAAACTGCAAGTTATGGTATCTTTTCATCCATTTCAACCCTTTCATTGGAAAGAGGAGGTAGTTTAGAAGGCACATCCTGCACTGCCTGATCAACCAAAAGGTACATTTCCATTCCACTGAAAACATGCTCTATTTTAAGGCTGGCAATGAAAGTTGGAAGAAGTAATCAGGAAGAAGTAATCAAATGCACTTGGAGTAATACAATGTCTAGCCTCAGAACGTAGCAGAAAAACAGACAAAATATATATTTTTTTTTTACTATATAAAAACTAGGTACTTCATCCAAATGAAATTTGAGAATGACAGACCTACAATAGTATGGGGCCACTGGCTCATAAGGCTTACTGGCATTTCATTCTTTCTTTCAGAGTGAAAGGAATGGACACAATCATGTTAGTGTTAAAAATGCAGCTTGAGATGCCTCTGTTTTCTGTTAACTTCTAAAGTTATCTTAAAAGTGAGCTGGGAAGTTAAGATCTTGTTATTAAATGAGATTGAAATCCATGATTTTGTTTTCATCATTACCTTGAAGTAAAATTTACCCCCAAAAAATTGCAGGGCAAAAATCCCATGGCAACCAGGGGATAAAGTTACAGTCATGTTGATATCTACTCAAGTAAACCTTTAACAAATAAGGACAGAATTCAGATTCCTTGCCAACAGATCAATCTCAGCATAGCACTAAGTTGTCCTCAAAGTTTGAACTGGCTCTTATTCAGAGTAATATGAGAACCGGGGGCTCCAAATGCAAAAGCCACCTCAGCTAGCTTCAACATGAAAGTTGTCAAACTGTGCAAACTCAAACGAACGAGTTCCAATAGCAGCCCAGCCATTACTTGGTTTAGAAATGGTGACATTCTCCCAGAGTGGATAACCATTTAACAGTCCTGAGGCAGAAGTGCCCTGTCAAAAAAAGGCAAAAGTTAACTTCGTAAATTCCAGTGATTGTGTTGACACTGAGAATACTCACACGGAAAAAGAGACAAGGCAGAAAGATGTCAAGTCAGCTTTAAACTACAATTCACACATGTTCCATGCAAAGGTGCTTTAAATATTGCATGGAATCCTCCATGCCTATCAGGTCTGTGAAACAGATCTAATGCCTTTACAACACTTTTTTTTTTTTAATATATATATATTTCAAAAAGGCTCATCTTCCCCTGATTCACAGCTTTGCAAACTCAGTGCAGAATCTGAAAGATGAACTGGTTTTCCCCTTCTACTTGTGTCAGGCTCCCTCAAACAGCCCAACTGTCTTAGGGAATATGATACACCTGGCACTGATTCTGCATAATTAGGCAAAAGTTAAAAAAAAAAAAAAAAAAAAAAAGATGTATTGTAGTCTTAAAGCTGAAAGGAAGCGGGACAGCAGAACTTTCATGTATCATGTTACCATTAAAATTAATTTGTAACTTTTCCTGAAACTGTTTTTATCTTGCCAGTGTTCCATTAAACGGTATTTAGAAAAAAAAGTACTTCAGTTTACTTGTATTTCTTAATCTGAAAGACAACCGCAGACATAGGTAAAAACAAAGAATGTCTTTCAAGGAGCCAGCATGAGAATTCTTTAAAGAGGGCTCTGCATTTCTGTCATTACATCAAAAGCATATTCGGTACAAAATACTTTAACAGCATAGATGAAAGTTCGTAGCATTATCATTTTAAAATTACCACCACTGTTTTGCATTTTAAACAATTTGTGTTCACCTTCAGCACCCCACTCAGGTTAGCAAATGTCTTGGCCCATTTTACAGATGGCAATCACTGTCATAAGTGTGGGTGGACAAAAGCCAAAACTAAACTACATCCACTCCAGTGAATGCCTCAGGTACGAGCGTCCCTTTGTCTACCAGTGTGAAAGCACAAAAGACAAAAAAACAGTTTCTAACACTCACTAACATTTTTAGGATGAGTGAAAGACTCAGTGCATAATTTTAAAAGGAAACCGGAAGTTTCATAACTGGTTTTCTAGCTTTTCGCCTGTATCCTTACCTGAATGTTGAGAGTAAGTGTGTGCCACGTATTATCCCGGACACCAGAGAGTCCTTTCATTAATATTTCTTCTCCAGCTGCAAAACATGCTTAAGGTGAGCAAAGTGTTACTTCACCCTTTGCTGAGACCAATAAATACCAAGCTAGCAAAAGGAAAATAATACCTATTTTTCAGAAGTGTTCAGGACTGACATCTTACCAATTTCAATGGCAGCATGGAAGGCTTAACACATAAACCTGGACTCTATATTATCAGTGCATTCTCCTGTTTTGACAGGACTGTTTCTCCACTGAAATCTCCAATGCTCTTGGGACTTTGACTAAGATAAGGAGTTCCTCTATTGAGAGTATAGGTTCATGAAGCATGACAGCAGCTATTGCTCTGGTTGTTCTATAGATCTCCTTGGTTATGTATTGGAACTTTTTTAACTCAGAGGCTTTGAGTTGCTACCTCATCACATTGCTTAGTTCTAGTCAAAATTTAAGCTAAGCAAAATTGGGTGTGACTGACACCTGGATGGATGACCAGAAAAAAATTAAGTGCTACGAGTAGAATCTTCAATTATTCAGTAGACAGTTTTAGCTGCAAGTTAATTTAGCATTCAGGTTCCCTTCTAGAAAAATATAAGGATTGCTGAAAACAGCTATACAGAAAAAAATTATCACATTGTGTAACAAGCGTCTCAGTCTGAAATAATGAGGTAGTTAATCAAAACCCTCTCAATTTCATCTAGAAAAAATTATTTCTGACAGCCTGAGAAAGTAATTGGGTAATGTTGTTATGTCTTATTAAATACTGGAGTCAATCCTACACATGAGTATGTTTTTACATACAGCTGAAAACTTAAGTTGTTATGGAGTCAGACATCGCAAAGTTTCCCTAGGGAGCACTAGTATGTTAAAAGAAGCTAATGTAAAGCCTTCTTTATGCTACCCATCCATGATAAAAAAAACCCAAAAAGTAACACACACACACACACACAAAAAAAAAAGAGGAGAAATGAGAAACTACAGCTACCAAATAGAAGACAAGACTGTTTTTAAGGTCCAGTACAGTGTGAAATAGGTCATTACAGGCTGTCTTCATATCAGATATACTGTAGATCTAGAAGTTGCATTTGACTCATCAACTATTGAAAATTTTAATTTATACTTGTGAAGTGATAGAAAATGCATTTAAATAACAAAATCTGCCACTATTTCAAAGCAAATTAAAAAGAACTTTTAGTTATTGATGAAGTATTATGACATACACTCTCTCATGTGCCTGTCAAGTGCTTTATAGATGAACACATATGAATGTTAGCCTCACAAGTAGAATATACTCTCACTCCACTGAGCTAGGCTAACAGCAGAATGCATAATTTGTGGAAACTCATCATCATCACCAAATCAGATGCATGTACATTGACTTGCACTGCATTTCAAGTAGGATTTTCTTTCTAGGTGTAGTATAAGAATACAGATCAAACCTTTCTGTAATTAATACTATTAATATCAGAGTATTTATGAAAAGCAAATTTACTTTTGCTAGTGTAAAATAGGTTTTGTTAACAGAAAAAAAAATATTGCAAAAAGCTGAGACTGAGAAGTGGACCAGCCAGTAACCTTCAGATGCTCTCTTCACATACAAGATGTGGCCATCATTAAGGCACAATGGGTTAAATTCACAGTGATGACAACTGAATTACAAAATCTGACTGTTAGTCATTTTTATTAAGGTATCAAAATGATGCATCCATATGTCAGCATCCACTTTAGAAAAGAGTTGCTTACCGAGGTCACCAGTGACTCTGTAGGTGCCATCTGCAAAAACCCAGAAGAAAACTCCTTTGGTACGTCGAACATATATCCCACCATTGTCAACTCTTCCTGCAATAAACACGCCCCCATCACGTTGTTTTTCTATGTAGATGTCACAAGTGACTGTCATGTTCATCCTATAAGAGGAGTTTAATGTTTTAACAAGCAAGGAACCAATTTTTTTGAGCAGGCAGTAGGTAGAAGAATACCTCCTATGTAATCCAGCAATCTTTTTGAGGAACGATTTAGTAATCCTAATTGTGACCTACAGGTGTGAGATGCACAGGACTTGCCTAGACTGGTTGTTTCCTACCTGTGAGTCCATAGATTTTCTTAGGAAGGGCAATTCTTCTCAGAAGCCAACAACAAAGTGTATTATCAGCAACTTTCAATTAAATAATTAAGAAACAACAAAAAAAAAAACCCACGCAGAAGGTTTGCATCTCCACAGAAAAAGTGTCAGGTCTACAAAATGAAAAGTTGCTTTTAGATAAATAAATCAAATCCAAGATTCAAGGTCATAGCACCACATCTGCTAAAATTTGATTTTCATTTTGTCTAGGATTTTTAATACAGACCAAGCCTTAAGTAATACAGATCTCTCGCCCAAAAGCCAAAACAAACTTTTTTAAACAAAATGTTCAAATAGGTTGAAATGATTTGATTTTCCTAAGGTGATACTTCAGCTCAACAGTAAAGCACCATGTTATACATATAGTGAGAGCTGTAAAGGAATAAAGGAAAGGAATACCCGAACAATCAAATGGCACCTAGAAAATTTACGCAGCTTATCCTGCCCCAAAGCTGCACTACGTGCCTCAACAAGAAAAATTAAAAACATTCTTTATTCTATTAATGTACATGCAAATTAAAAATCTACATCCCATGTATGAAAGGACTTGCAATATGGATACAGCCACAAGGCCACATATTTAGGAAGTTTCTAATTATTTATAATTATTTACAGAATGTGAAGAGACTATGACATAAGCTCAGCTGATAACTAAATCATAAAGAATATTTATTTTAGCAACTCTTCTCCCCACCTCTTACATAATAGTAAGAGCAACTTAAGATTTCATTCTAATGTAACGCTATTAGAAGTATCAGATTCTTGGATACATATCCATTACACAAACAAGATTTCTTTCTTACCTCCCTATATATTAAAGAGGAGACCCCCACATCTTGTTTAAGCTATTATAAAGAGATTGGAAGCAATGTAGAATGAGTTAAATAGTATTTTCAGGATATAGCTAGATTCAATAAAACCATCGGAGCAAACCACTAACAAATTCAGGAGTAGAAACAAAAAACACAAGATTAATATCCAAACTAAACCCAACTAAATCATCCTGAATTGTAGGGGGAATATGAGACTTTGCTTAACAGAGGGCTGCAGAAAAAAAACATTAGGTAGCTGGAGGCTGTTCTTCAGTTATAAGATGGTGGTATTCTTCCAGGCTTCAGAGCAAAGTGATTCAATCACTTGTCCAGGCCAGAAATTAGAAGCATAAAGCATGTTCTGAAAAAGCATTTGGGGGATCAATGATCCAATCAAAGTGAAAAAAACCTGACAGAATGGCTATTTTAAAGAACATACATAAGAATTTAAGCTAGACTTCCAAATAGAAGTTTTAAGCATAAAGTCTATTATTACTTACTATTACTAAATCAATTAGTTAACAGGCTCTTTCCCAAATGCTTTTTAATTTTAAATAAACGTTATGCTAAAATATGGTACTTGATTCCAAATTACCATCATTATAGCTCCTAGAAAGAATTGCAATCGTAACTATACTCTTATCAAACGAGTAAATCTCAGTTACATTTACCCAGAAGTAAACTGGTTTAAGTTATAGTTGACTCAAATCCACACAATTCTAGGAAATGCTCAGAAGATGGCAGTCTGCAACAAATATAACTGAATTAACTCCCAGACTATTTCATTGATATGACATTAATCAAATCACAAACAATCAAGCAAGACAACTCAAAATTAAGTAATTTAAACTGAATCGATATTTTTCTCCCATTTAAAAATACATTGAAACTCAGTGCACACTTCGAATTAGGATTTTGACTTGGTCTTTCCAATATGCTAACGCAGATCTATTAACTTGAAAAATCAACTTGAACAGATATGCCCAGCAGGACATTAGGAAAAAAAATTAAATTCCAAGACAGTGCAGCAGTGAGCCAAGCTACCAAGAGATGTGGTGGACTCTCCATCCTTGGATGTCTTTAAGACTCATTTGGACAAAGACACAGTTGATATCTTAGAGTTGGCAATTGCCCTCAGCAGGGCTCAATGACTTCTGGAAGTCCCTTTAAGTCATTTCTACATGTCTACAGAGAGTCTGAATGCAAAAGCCCTCTGTCCAAAAGAAATGAGGCTTGAGACAGATTAACTGACCATAACTCACACTGACAAGGAGGACGTTTCCCCAGATGTTGCTAGAAAATAGTATTTACATACCATTGAAAATTTCCTATGAGACTGATGGTCTGATCTGCATCAGAAGCCCAAGTGATGGGTTGCTGAACCACCACCTGGCGGAGTGTGAACACATGATCTCCTGGGTCAGAAGCATTTATGAAGTATTCAAATACACCTGTCTGATCTGCAAAATTTGGGGCTTCACTGAAAGGTGGGTTCCCTGTTCAGAAAATAAAATATATATATCAACACCAAAACATTATTTTTCTTTTGTGTACTCTTGTTTTCAGGAATTTCTTCTGAAAATATTCTCCAGAATTTTGACTTAATCTATCAGATCACAGTCTCCAAAACTGAAGTTTTGGGAGTTGGAAGGTGATTTTAGTTTTGGTTTTGTTTTTAAGCAGATGCCAGTTTTTGAAAACACATGAACGAAGTAAATTACCTTCTTTTCTATCTTCCTTCCAAAAACTAGTTAACTGCAGTTATGAGCTATATCATTTCCATCAAGAATTTTAAAACCATTAGTGATCACCAAGTTAAGACACAGAATTCAATAAACCTCATTGCAAGCGAAGTATACAGGTGTAAGTTGTTGGAGAAGCAGGTATAAATAAACAGAAATAAAACACACATTCAGACTACTTCATGTTACTTACATTAGAGGACTCAAATAATTGTTATTGTCTTTCTACATTAAGACTATATCTATGTGTGAATTAAGTTTCTGGATAAGAGAATTCTGACTTACGAATATTGAAATCATCTTTGTAATTTGAAGGAAAGGGTTGAGGTGGTGGAGGCTCTGAGCAACCACATTTCTGCCCTGTCTTGAGTGTTGTTAAAGTGTAGACTTCATCCACGTTTAGATCTAAAGAAAAACTTCCCTTCCACACCTGTAATTAAAGAAAACTCAAGCTGGAAAAAAAAAATCAAACAACTAAATAATAAAATACCCAAGTTACTGAATTAGAGAAGATTCTCTAAAGTCCTGTTTTAAGGCAAAAATCTTGTTGTCTTGCCTCAGCATTTAATATCTCCGAGCTATTCTAAAAACCCCTTTCCCCCAAACTCTTTATTACCTCCCAGGTAAGCCTGTACGCAGCTAGTAAAATTGTAGTCAAATGGAGCTAATAAAACATGCTTTAGTAAAGGGGGAAGAAACACCTGAAACTACAGAGACACTAATTAAAATTGATTGACTTACCTTTACAGGATGGAGTTGCTCAAAAAGACTAGAGTTTCCAGATTCAAAACCAAGTCTAGAATGCCACACTTGAAGTGTTTCCACCATATACTACAACGAAACACAACAGAAAATTAAAACAAAAACAAACCAAACAAAAACGCCACCTCCTTGAATATTCACTGTGAGAAATATCAGTCCTCTAAGGGTATCTAATTTTTGTTATTTTAAAGCTGCTGATCACATTAGAGGCCACCACTCTATTCAGCTAGCCATTACATATGGCTTATCTTTTTACAGATTACGTGTCAATAAGCCATTGTCCCATCATGCAGTAATGTTGATTATAGAGACAGAAAGCATTGCAATCAAACATGCAGTCTTTAGCTTCTCTACTAACAACAATCGTATCCCTTTGATACAAGCTCTCTGGCTAGGAGCAACCAGGCTGAAATAATCTCTGCTAATTTTGCTTTAATGGGACCTTTAGTTCAGTTGCTGGTTCTTTGATACTGAATTTTGAGCGAAGTACTTCGCTTACAGATCTCCAAAATTCTGCAATACTATGGCATACCAACTACAGATTAGTTGATTAGTTACAGATTTTAATCCTATCCAATCCCTACAATTGTTTTTAGTTACCCAGATGAACAAAAAAGCAAGCAACCTTGAGTTTGGCGTGGATAAGCCGTTTGATACTTCCCCCAAAGGGAGCTATATATCAGAAGTGACGCTCAATTATTTTTCCTAAACAAACCATTGTCTTGCTGAAAGTATTGTCATTGTAAATGCAAGGAAATTAATGCCACCAAAAATTAAATTTCAAATAAACACTTTCAGCTTCTGAGAAGCAATCATCCAAACGAACTAACAAAGATTCACTCCAGTTTACACTGTGAAAGTATTGTTCACATTTCAGAGGGAAATTCAGTTTAGTCAGATTAAAAAAAAATACAATCCACAAACAAAAAAAAATAAACCATAACCAGCTGGGAGATTCTCAGAATCTCTCGTCAGAGGATGGAACAACATAACCTACAGTATACAATCAACTGCAGTCACTCCTCTAGAAAGGAGCTGATAACAACTAGAAATGCTATGGCCATGCTGGGTGGTCAAACTACCTGAGCATGTCACAGCACCTGGCCTTGGAATAAATCCAAAAGAAAAATCCAATTGCATTTCTGTTCTGGGGAATTTCTTCTTCAATATACAGATGATTAGACTGGGAGGTAATAATTCTACAAATTCAGTTATGATATTGCATCTCATGGTAAAAGCAGAACAAGAATGTTTAAGACTTTGCCGGGTGTGTAACAGCATCTAGTATTGGAGGTAAAGAACTCCAACTTCTTGCTAACCTGTGATATTGTCTTGCATGCATTTGATTATGGATAGCAATTCATTTTACAAGACTGATCAAATGTATTCAAGATCTACTTACAAATGATCCTTTGAGGTAGAAAGTTGCTCTCTGAGGTGTCACACTGAAATGAGGTAGTGGAGGCCTGATACATTGAGAGTGATTATGAGTCTGAAGAAAAAAATAAATGTAACAGAAGGAACATACATTACTGGAATGCATCACATGGTAGTGTTAAAGGCAAGTATACAGCACTAAAAAAGCAACATAGGATCAATTTGCAACTATTTATTTCACTGTTATCTTAATAACTGCAATTATACTAGCTTAATAATTTTATTTTGAATACTGCTTAAAAAAAGCCACACGATTTCATTTCCTCCCAGAGTGTGCCATCAAATTAAAGCTAATGACACATACATTGGTCTCCAGGAAGATTCAAAGTTTAGATAGAAAAAAGGACCTCTAGGGGTCTCACTAACAAAGCTACAAGCATCAAAGATCGTAATCACAGATATTGAGCTACATAAATCAAAACAGGTTCTTCATAACAAAATATTTCCTTTATCTTTTCTAGTTCATTGGAATTGCTGATGCACGTACCATAGTTTCAATGATGATGGTAAGGTTTCCTATGCCATCTGTCAGAGCTACAAAACTGCCACCTCCTTCTAAATGTCCATCCACTTGCAAGTATGACCAGCCTGGCTGAGTAAATTGCGTTGTGTGTGCTGAGACAGAACAGAACGAAAATCAGAAGAAAATAATTAAGTCTTAATAAAAAATAATAACATTTGTAGTCTGAATTAAATTTCTTTCTCATACATGCTTACACAAAAAGCACCTTGACTTTGGGAAGAAAGTAATGGAACTTCCAAAACAAATTCTACCTATACAAGAAGAAAGATTAAAGAATTCTACTAAGGCACAATTAAAAACATCAGCTCTGTGGCTGATGAAACAGTTAAAATGAAAGCAATTATTTAGACAGGATGAAAAAACTCTTACACCACTATATAAGTCAACCATGTAGATGCAATATGAGTATTCATCACAGAAGAATAAAAATGAAGGCATTTGCCTTGTTCCTCCTTTATGGCATTCCATATGCTACTCACTCTACTGAACTGTGGCAAAAGAGAGTAAAATATTACAGAAGAACTACAGAGTAGCCAATGAATTCATGTGTCCATAGACACGACGTGAACATACTCTTCTTTCCCCAAGCACAAGCAAATGCTGACTTACACAAGCCAAGAATCTCAAGTAGGACAAGAATACAGAGGTTCTTTATTCCATTTTCTCAAACTGAGAGGTATCAAATGTCTACTTAAGGATTAAAGAAAGAAAAGGGAAAGGAACTAAGAAAGCACATTAACCTTTATTGGCATGTAGATCAAAATATTTTAATAGTAACAGCTATAAAAGGCAGTAGTTTATTCATTTCTGCTGTATCTAATGGTCAAGTATTAAGATTTCCCTTGCTATTAGGCCTTTCTGCTTTCTACTGAAAGCTTTTTTTCTTCCTCTTTTTTAAAGTATTCACAAAACTTTCCACAAAAGTACTTTAATTTGGTACAAAAAATAATACACATAAAACCCACTAAATAAATAAAGGTCTCAGAAAATACAGTTATGGTCTGTTAGATGACCAAACTTTTAACTGCAAACTTTTTACCTGTAATCCAGATAGGAGCTTCTACTTTGTAGTGGCCACTCCACGGCTCCTGTGCGGTCATTAATCCACATCGACCAAAGGGTAACTGCTCATAATAACTTGCCACCAAGTTCCATGCAATGGTTCTGGAAGAAAAACAGGTTTGTTTGTTCCATTCATATGGATAGTATCAGATTAACTTAGTACAATAATTTATTCCTCTTTTCTCCAGCAAGCAATGAAAAGAAGTTTAAGGAACAAGTCTTTCCAGCTAAAGGAGAAAGAAAAAACCACAGGAGAAGAAAAAAAAAAAAAAAAACAACCCAAAAAAAAACCCAAATCAACTTCCAGTGTTGAGAACTTCTTACAAATTGATGATACATTCTCTGGCTATATCACCATAAAAAGTTGCACATTAAAGTAAATGTGTACTGAGGGTTAAGTAAGAGGGTTACTCTATTTCTTGGGGTTTTCCCTGATTTGAAGGAGAAATAATTGTTATCAAGGTTTACAGCTTTTTGTTGAGGTGTTAGGTGGGTTTTTTTGGTTGGTTGATGCTGGTGATGGTAGTAGGATTTTTTGGGGGGAAAGGGTTTGGGGGAGCAGTTAAGTACCACTAAAGGAAATAACCTTTCCTTTATCCATATAACTAACAAACAGAAAACAACTCTAACCAGCCATCCTGCAGGAGTTGCTGCTATTTCAAGAAGCTGTCAGGACACTGACAAGGTTACTTACTTCAGGTCTTTTGATTTGGTCTTCACTGAAAATCTTTTGCTAACACTTTACATTTAAGTACCATAAGTATGGAAATACAGCTTAATAAAACAGTTATGTAGAAAGCAAAAGCTGGCATGCTGTTCTGCTATTCCATATGGATGAGTGCACAGGCCTCATTCTAAAGTCATTGCCGTAAATTATCACACTGTATATGTATTTCGGAAGAGATCCTGAAATCCTACAAAAAGGTGCTCATAGAATAAACTATGCTTGAGTTGTAAACTCAACTTGCTCACATTAAACTTGTTCTGCAAAGTTTCAAACTTGGAAAAGGAATGTAGGGAACTCAAGTTCAAAGGAAACGAGTTTAGCAGAAAGATACACTGCCTTTCATCAGGAAGACTCTATTTTCAACATAAAAGCCAAGGTAACTTCAATATTGGATATATGGACTTGGAACTATTCTACAATAATTTCTAAATACAATACATAGGTCTGGCTGTTGGGTTACTACAAAATGGGGCATATATAATTACAAAAGATTTGTAAAAAAGAAAAACAATGGGAAAAGACCCCAAAGCAAGATATTAAAGCATATGAGAGTCAAGAGGCAACCAGAATGGTCAGGAATTCATGTAGAAAATCTGTTAGAAATATTCAGCTTGCAGAGAAGGAGACAGGAGATTCATACATACCAGGTGACTCAAGAAACTTCCTTTTACAAGTATCCAGGTGATTTGTGCTGTGCTCCATTTCAGTCATTTCAGACAAAAAGATTTCTCCTCATTGTTCCAAAAGGAAGTTACATAAAAACTAAAAGCATTTAACAATTTTGCTACGTCTTGATGCCTACATTTTCTTTTATCAGATTTTTATTTATTTATTTAATCTTTCAGATTAGTAGTTGTTGCACTGGAAACAAAGTGTGTTTTTTCTTCTCTTCTAAAACTGTGAGTTATGTAATTTCCCAGTAAATCTAACAGCTTTCTTCCACATTTCAGTTTGGAAAGAAAACGTGCAGGAAACAGTAAATATATCAAAAGACTATAACAAGTTTTATAATGGAGTCTGAGAAAGAAGCTGTATGGAAAAACTAAATAATTAAAACTGTACTTATTACTTTTAACTGAAGACAAACAACCTGATAAAGACCATAAGGAAAGTACAGATAAATTAGCTTTATTGTTATTTTCTTCCAATGTTTTTCATGTTGTTAACTCTTCTTAAGAGCTTCCTCTTTTTTAACAAATATCATCAGAGTCTCAAAGGCATCTGAACTCAGCTGCATAAGACATTGGATACTGTGGAACAGTAACTCAAGAATACACTAAAACTTGTGGAACTTCTGCCCCAGAAAGAGGTAAGGAAAGTACACTTCCTACCTTACTATATTTGAATTTAGACTGACAATGGAGAGTCTCAGTTTACCTACCTATCTTACTATAGCAGATGGATGTGTTATGTAGTGTTTAAACAACTCTTACATATGAAGTCATGAAAGCCAGCAACAGCACGCAACACTTACGAGGTCATGTTTCCATTCACATAGTTTTGGTTCAGGATACGAGCCCAGCAGCCTGCGCCCACTTCATCATTGAAAGTACTGTAATCTTCTGAAGACCACAGTTTCTTCTTAGTTAATAAGGCATTTGGCACTGTTTTTGTTCCAGGATAATGAGCCCTAAACAGTATTTTAAAAAGAAAGAGCACTTAGCACAAAAAGAAAAATCAAAGCAGGGAAGTACATACAGCAGCAATCATTCACCTCCTCCAAACTGAAAAACAAGCTTTCTTTGGAATACTAATGGCATAGAAGAAAATGGAATGACAGTACGCTATAATATTCTGTAGCTTATTGTATCTGCATGAGTAGAAGATTATTTCTTCTGATGCACACCAGCATATAAATAAACCCAGCTTTAAATATATCGTGCAATTTCTGCAGTTTGCTAAAGCAAAGCTTTATCCTGAAATTGAGCTTGAAGATTTTCATAACTGTAATGTGCTAAATAGACAAAATACATGCTACCTTGTACTATCTTAAACAAAACCATAAATAATTATAAAATCAACAGTAAGGCTAGGCATACTAGGTATTATTCTAAGAACTTAGAAAGGACCTAAACATGAACTTGGCTAATTTTGCACATCACTTTATTAAACTCAGGTTTCAAAAAGGCACGCTATTGGACTATAAAAATTACAGAGATATAAACTGAAAATAGTTGAAACATATAATGAAAGCTAATTTTCTTTCCAAGATCTTCCTTACTGTGAGGAGAGATGCTTTCTCCCAAATGAAGACTACTGATTATACTGAATCACAACATTGATTCGCTGTGTTAAATTAGTCTGACTGAAATAAAACCTTTCAAATCACTTGCAGAAAACAGGGTTACAATTTTCCTCTCACTTAGCACACTCATTATAAACACTAAATACACACACTAAACTGAAACTATCAGCATTGGAAGGTAAGCATAAATATTTCCTTTACTATTAGTCTGAAACTTGACAAATTGATAAATTTGTGACAGGGACACAAGAAATGCTATTTTTTCTAGGCTGACTGTTGGGGTGTTTTTTTCATTATCTTCCCCCTACTGAAAAATGGGCCATTTCCCAGTGTGATAGTCCTTCACATATATCTTCAGTAATGATAATATAACAGATAGTAGAGATTTTAGCTACATCCTCTGCTGTAGAGATTACTGTATATTTCCCCTTTGGCTTGGAAACACAAGTACTATCTTAATACCAAGCACAGGTTTTTGTAATGGCATAAAGTGCATTGCTTGCAAAGACCAGGCAAAGAAGAAATAATTTGTCTTTCTACACTCCATATCCTGAAGAGCTGTTTCTTAAATATTAAGTCAACACCCCTGCCAAATACAAGCTGTATTTCACACACCAAAAAAAAAAAAAAAAAAAAAAAGCAGAGGGTGTTAGAGAGCTTTATGTAAGACACTAAAGTGATGGAAATAAATTGGAAAAAAAATAGGGATGATAAACAGGATTAAAGTTACAGGGAGAACAAACAGGTTCTAGAGGCAGACTCCTTCAGTGTATCTTTATTGGCAGCTTTGGTCCACTTAAAAGCCCACACACTTAAAACATTCTCATTTTGTCCCATTGATGTGCAATCAGGTAAAACAGTTTCACCACCAGTTGAAATGAATCATTTTTCTCTGCTCTTAGATGCAATTTCTATTACTGTTAATGAACATAATTTACATTGTATTTGCTTTTCACTTACACTGCTGTTAACCAAGGGGATTTATTTTACTTTATTAATATCTAAATTAGTCCTTAGAAAGTAGGGCATGACTAAGGAGTGTGAAACTCCTATTCTATATGAAAACTAACTGTTTAAAAAAAAAAAATCAGCATACTTATTTTTTAACTTTTAATAGCACTATAGAGTGGATATTTTGAAAAGAACCACCCAAATGTATAAAATAAACATTTGCTATCAGATTGCAGTGAAGGCTTTTTACACCCAGTATGTGTTGGATTCATTGAACTTTAAGTGATTCATATTTAAAGAAAACAGTAGGTGAAGCTGCAGCCCTCTTTTAGACATCTTGTGCCACTCTACTGCCTCAACAACTAACTCAAGGTTTGCAGCAAAGGACAGGAGATTAGCTGTGTCCAGAACAGCATGCTCTGCTCCTTCAGTAGCGAAAACAATCTTTTTACTTCATTGGAAATGAAAACTCCTACAAAGGAGCGACTATAGTCCACTTACTCTCAAGAAATAATTGGTCCACCCAAGGACCATATTTGAAGAGACCCGAGTATCCCGATTAACATTTCAGCAAAAACCACAGACCACTAAACATCTATCCTTCTTGCTGCCTGAAAAGATGAACTGGCATAGAGTTTATACACCATTCTTGTGATGCTTCAGCAGAAGCAGTAGGATTTTGTATTCTCTGCTCAATAGAGTAGAGAGTCAGAAACTATAAAAGAAGACCATTGCAAAGAGTGGAAAATGTGTATCATGAAAGGGGATAAAAAAAGTTATCTTGGCAGAGAAAAGGTAATGAGATGAATAGTGGCAACAGTATTACAGAAAAAGTGACACATAAGTTTAAACCTCTTATCGCTTCAAGAGAAGAATTTACCACAGCTATTACTATCAGTGTTTGTATTCTTCAAACCACTGTCATTTACTAAAAAAGTATTTTCATTGTTCCCTCCTTCCTTCTTTAAACCCCTCTGAAAACAGCAGACGATTGGTTCATCATCAGGGCCTCTAGCTGTTAGATTGGTAACAAAGTATTTTTTAAAATATTAACTATTATGAGATATGTGTTTTATACAGCAGATAAATCAGCAATATAACTCCAACAGGAAAAAATTCACAGTTGCCTATGCAGGGCAGCTAAACTAAATTAGATATACTAAGAAAAGCTCTTTAACTTATGGATTGCAAATGCTGCAAAGAGAAATAGCAGTGGTTTCCACCATTTTTCTCTCATAAATCAGTACAAGGCTGTGGAAACTAAATAAATTTTAAAAAAGATCAGCCTATATAATACCATCACTACAGTGAAATTTTGCAGAAAATCACTACCTACGTAAACCTTAAAATCTAGTTCTCAAAAAAAACCTCTAGAGAACAGAAATCGCCAGCTAACAACACTGTCTTTCCTACTTCTCATTCTGTATCAGCACACAGGCCTGGGAGGGACTTGGGACACTTTGAATTCCCACTACTACAGGTACCACATCATGATTCCATCATGCAGTAATGTCACAACATCATCTTGTTTTTCTTAGGTTGTTAACTTGGGCATAATTAGGTCTAACAAATTTCTTTAAAACGTTTGGTTTTCTGTGACACATTTAGCAATATGTGTGTTTAGAACAGATCCGGTTAAGAACATTGATGCTTCTAACCAAAAAGACTGAGTTGTCATCTAGTGGCATACTAATTCATATTAGGTGAAAATGAAAGTTGTTACTCCTAAACTCACTGACACTTTCTAAACACTTCCTATTTTCTTTCAATTAACAGCAGGAAGCGGG